TTTTCCTCACTCACCGATCAGTTTGTTCCTCCTTCCAACTTTCTATCGATTCTTTGAAATTATAGTTTTCCTGTTTACTTTTGATACAAAAGAGAGCGGGCATGTGTTTTTGTGGAAGGCTATTTAATTGAAAGTAAGATCTAGATCCCAATTAAAGGAGCCACGTCTAGTTATCCCCTCAGGTAGTAATAGGTTTACGTCGACGCATTTCCCTGAATTGGTTTTATTATGTTCTCTTTGGTTGTTTAATGATGCCTAATAATTCTTCGCCACGTTCAGTTACCATGGCAATCTGTATCACACATGCTAGTTATAAAATTATAAAACACTACTCAAGACTCCTTAACAAATAAAATTGGGGAAGTTAGTATTTGCAGCATGCATCAATGTGTTATTTACTAAAATTAACTTTAAGTATATATTATGTAACTTCTATCATCGCTTGATTAAAAATACTAGAATTTTCTATAGCATTCTAAGTGTTCGCCGAGCACCAAAATGGACAAATGTGACGCGTGAAAGTTTTCAGAAGTCCCAAGCAACGCACAAGAATACGAGAAGTGGAATTTAACTGTAATATCAAGAAAAGCAGGATTCATCTTTACCTCTTTACTAAGAATTTACTCAGGAACCAAGTAATCGGCTCCTGTTTAATTTAACCACGACCTTGGATAGATCCCGTACTTTTTAGTCATAATTCAGGGACACCCAAAAATTAACGACTGTTTTCTGTAAAATATCTGTTTGGAGAAGCAAGTATTGCCTAGAATTTTCTATTACTTGAGGAAGACTAAAAATTTCTAGATGACCGTTCCATTCACGTACAAATTTCGAAGCTAACTAAATTCCCTACGATTTTCTGAAGTTTGATTTTCACATTTCACACCCCAGGTTAGGCTATTTTTCGTAGGAAAAAAGAAACCTAAAATTTTCGGATTCAAGAATGTGACGAAGAGAGGAATCAAAAACATTTTCTTTTTCGTAATGCGCTAAATTGCATCTAAAATTTTCGGGAAAATAATACTGAAGCCCTAAATGTAATTTCGAAAATACTCAAGTTCTCCTAGGATGACCGAACAGACACAAATTTTATAGCGCCGCTTAGAATTCATTTCTAGAGGTCTAAAAATACTCTGGATAGCCTAAAAAGTGTTTTAAATGAATTCGGGTGGAAACTGTCGTTGGGTGCCCCTGATAATTCGCACCTTGATACTCAACTTTGTGGACAACAAAATATTAATTAAAAACAAGTCAAACGACTTGCATATATTAAACGTTTTTAAGAGCGGATGTCAGTAAATATCGACAAGAAGTCTACAAAAGTGAAAAATCGAAAATTCTCAAAAAAATTCACAAAGTAGCACTTGGTAAGCTATTAACATAAATGTAATTTTTACTTCGATCCGACAATTATTTTCCACGTACCGGGGGGTTATTGGTTTCGCGGCTCTCGGACCGGGTTTTCCAGGCCCGAGATCATGTGTCGCAAAAAAATCGTTTTAAAATTCAAATCCATTGTAATGTGAACAACAACTAACTTATTCAGAAGACTACTTAATTGCACACATTCTAAGTGGTTATTTACTCAGTTTGAACGAAAGTGTAATATTTTGGAGATTTTTCATTATTTTCAATATTTTGAACGTTTTCGTTCAATGAAAAAATGGCAAATTTCAAAGCCCAAAATCGTCGACTGGTACCTCGATTTCAGTAACGAGTCTTATACCACGTTAAAGAGTGTTATCTCTTCTTTCAAAATCTGTTTTCAAAACTACGGGCAACTTAAAATAAAATGTTTGAGGCCTAAAAATACTAGTAGTACTTTTCTGAAATTTGAGCTTTCCAGACTCAGTGGGTCGATGCTAAAAACTCAGAAAAATGCTATAAGAAATCAGTTTGAGCAACAGTGATTTAACGTTATCAGCTATCAGAAACCAACACGTGTTTATCGAGCGATCTGATAAAATTTAAAGCCGTTTTCCAACAAGAAAAGCAGAGTTTAGCCATCTTCTGCTACCAAACGCACGAGTCACGTAAGGTTGTCAAAGGGCAAAGCACAATAATAAACTTCAAAAAGCACAACGTTTCTGCGTCCAGGAATTAGACTTTAGCGGACAGAACAATGCCTACGAGTGTATGTTTCATACCTTAGCATGGGTTTCCTAGATACTGGAATAAAAAAACATCAAGGACAGCATCGGCAAGAGCATCTTCGGGTGCTCTAAAACGACGGAGATTGCGTTACTTTTCACAGATTGACCGCTTACCACCTGTTTTTGGGCTCGCATTTCGACGGAACGCTTGCCTCGAGAGGCGCGCGGCACGGATCTGAACTCTTCTTCACGAGACATTGAGCTGAATTTATCGGAAATATGCCACCACCACCAACAACGTGAGCTTTTTTCGGGTATTTGTCGTTTTTTATGCGAAAAGTTCGGGTAAGCAGATTTTCGCAAAAACCATTTGGCTTAAAAAATGTGTTTAAAAGCCCAACCTGGATTTGAAGCAAAAAGTATTTCCTCGAAATAAGCTAAAAATACCCAATTCACGCGGTGAAAAATTGGATGATTATGGAAGGATTATCGAATTTTTGCCTAACCTGAGGGATTTCCAGTGATGTAGGATTAGGGCTAGGAAAAAATCACATAACCTGCTCCTGTCGTTGTGAATTTCCTCAAGATCAAAAATTTCAGTAAGAACCGAAAACAACAGCTTAAAGGAGGTGCACACACCTTGAACTAGGCAGGGTAAAGGGGCTTCTGATTGAGTTAAACTGTCATTGATGCACGGTGCAATTAGGTAGACCTGTTACTATCCCCCCGCGCAACCACATGGGGAGTACTTTGAAGCGGTCCTGTTGGGGACTTTCGGGGGTAGGGGGCGGGGCAAATCGAAAATAACTTCTCTTTGTTTTTGTGAAGTACATCATTTCTCGCACGGTTGACAAGGTGACGGCGGACTCCGTACCTTTGGAAAGGCCCTTTTGAAACATGTCCTGGCAACATGCAGGGCATCACGAAATTAACGTCAACACCTTGAATCAACTCCATGAACAGGGAGAGGCGATAAGTCCCATCTTAAAAGATGCTTGATGTCTAGACGTAAATAGTCTGTCCACAGTCATTTTTCATTTTGTATTTCGGGACCATTTGACAGCGTGCGAGTGAACCGGAGCGCAGTAACGAGCCCTAACCCCACCCCATTGCCCTTGCGGTCAATAAATCATCGCGTTTTTCATTTTTTTATGTGCGTTCGAGAACCTCCAAAGGGAATATTGAGGGTCTTTGTACAGTTTCAGTTTATTTTACCGACAAAAAAGAACAAAACAAAGCAAAAGACAAGTATACAGAAACAGGCAGAAGCAATGTTGTGAGGAAGCCCAAAAAGAAACCATAAGGCTTACGTCATCCCCTTTTCGTTCGTTTAGCGTCGAATAGGTTTCCTGGTTTTGGGTGGGTCGGTCGGTGGGGTGAAAAAAAAATCACAAGAAATCTGAGAACGGGAGGCCTGAAACACCAGCATCATTGCCGTGTAGACTGAAAACAACAAGACATGGTCACCAAATCGACACAAACTCAATATGGCGGAACATTTGATGGTCAAGTTCATAAAAAAAAGGGTAAAAAGCAAAGAGGATACACCACCGAACGTTTTATTTGTCGAAATGATGTCATAATGCTCAGGCCCGTAACCAGGGGGGTGCACGGGGTGCATTCGCACCCCCCCACAGGCCTCAATGGTCCGCATTTTGATACTCAATATCCAGTTTAAGGAGTGCAGTCGGTTAAACTGAAGTTTCAAACTTAACAGTGATATTTAAACAAAATCAAAGAATGGAAAAAGCAGTAGTGTATTCACTGGGAAAATAAAACCAGCTGCAATCTAGTAGCCCGAGCCATTCAGAACATTTCAATGAACGCACAGATGTCCCAGCGTATCTATATGAAAGATGAAATTAACGTGCGCACACTTTTGCACAGGCCAAATACAGCAGCCAAAGCTCTTAAGGAGTGCGATGATGATCTCTTTCCAAAGAGGGTCTAGAAGAGGGATAGGCGTAAAGCGGCCAAAAATTTAGTCGATAGCCGTAAAAATTGAAAAATTTTAACCGTTAGCCGTAAATAGGGTAAAAAAGAGTTAACCGTAAAAGAAATTGTTTCCTAGATTTGTTTATTTTAAGGAAGGTGTTAAACTCGCTTATGGTTGCTTTTTTTATTTCCCCGCTAGGCCAAGCGCCTTTTAGGTGTTGACCTAGACCTAGGCTCCATTTCCGCCGCTCTCTCAAATAATCAAGTTTTTTTCCATAACAAAAATCTGGCTTCTTGCTGGCGATTACTATTTGTGATTTTCAGGAGGTCGTGCCCTCGAAATACTAGTGAAACAACACGCAGAGATGTCACTGTTTGTAAAACATGTTGTCGATAAACAACAATTCCCTGTTTTTCTCTGATGCTACGGTAGACATTGCCATGCCTAGTCCCTGTACGGCGTCTTCCCACGCAATCTCGGTCAAGGCAATTTGCAATTGGTGGCGTATCTATCCCTGCAATGAGCTGTGAATGTGAAAGAAGTGCGAGTTCTTTAAGGCGGCTGCATACATATAACAGGGCATGCATGGGCCAGGAAAGGCTGTCATCCCTCACACTAATGCACTTACATTATCAAGTTAAAATTGTTTTGGATGAGGTGATAAATCTGTTTGCCACCAAACACCGACGGAGGCTGGAGCTCGGGATTATTCTGAAGGATTAGTTCCGCAGTATTTTGATGTATCATTCGACAGCGTTAAAATTACTCCTTTATAACTTTATTCAAACAGTTGTATTCGACAAATGTAATATTCAGTTCCTACCGTGTACTTTGCCATTACAACTTCTCATGTATTGCTACTTTCCTAAATAAACGGATCAGACAATAAAATATACATTTCGGTAGTTTGGTCCACCTTGGTCTCGTTAGCACCCCCCATATAAAATCCTGGTTACGGGCCTGATGCTAAT